GGGAGACCTGGGTCCGGTGCTCGCCGGCCCTTTATCGATATTTGCTCCCAGGCAGGTACTTGCAGATGGTGATCGAGTCACCCCGCCCCAACCGATGGAGCGGCCCCCTCCAGGGCCCTTTTTCTGACCCTTCAGTTCCTCCACAACTCTTCTTGGAGCCTCTCCCACAGATCCCTGGCCTCGTGGAGCTGCGGGTCCCAGCACCGGAGCCAGGACCCAGCACCGAACACCGAGGTAAAATAACCTCCCTGCTGCTACGAGAGAGCCCCCGGTTTGTGCAGCCCAGGGCGTCGGCGATGTCGGACTGGGAGCTCCTATTCCCACGGCCCCCAGAGCTTTTCCAGAGTCGCCGTGTCCCAGAAGAGCCCCCAGCCTGGGAGCACGGCCTACGCACTGCGTCCCTAGCTGGGTTAAATGCTCCCAGCTGAGCTCATTCAGGTTGCTCAGTGTCAGGGCCCGTCCTCTTTGTTATTTACCAGCACCCAGCGCTTGGATCATCCGTGATCGTTGTATGTTTTCTTCCAGCTTACTGATGAAAAAGTGAAATAGTCCCTGGCCAAGAAACAACCTCATCAGCAGGACCCCACTAGCCTCGCCCCCTTGCTCCAGGCTGGTTTCCTGATCTCAGCTATGTTCTGAGACCAATCACTTAGATGGTTTTTAGTATATTTAATGTTGGACTGGGGGGCTTTACTTACCCAGGTCATCCCATTTACCCTTTTCAAACGTTGGTACAACATTAGCTTTCCTCCACAATTCTGGAACTTCCCCAGTATTCAAGAGTTGTTGACAATCACCATTAATGGCCCAGTGAGTTTCTCAGCCAGCTCTTTTAAAACTCTTGGTTTCCAGTTATGTGGACCTGCTGATTTTAAAAGTGTCTCTGAAGTTATAGAATGTAAAATGTTTCATTATATGCTATGGCTGCCTCATGTATTTTTCTTAAAAACAACAGAAATATTAATTGGACACTTCTGCCATTTCTGCATTATTATTGACCTCTCTGCTAGCCATAGAGTTCTCCTGGTCTCCTTTGCGTCCCTTATCAATTTTCTACATTTCCTAGTTCCTAATTATATCTTCATTACTGTCATCTCCCTTTTTATTCCATTAGTTCTATATATACATTTCCTCTCTTGCTGCAAATCTCTGATCAGACCTGTAACCTCCACCTCTGTCAGCGCCAGCCACGGAAAACTCCATTGCTTAATGGGCCGGGACTGAGGCCCTAAACCAGCCCCTCTTGCATGTTTATGATCCGTGCAGCTGAGTGGCAGATGTCACCTCAGAGCTGTCGGGCTGAGGCTGTGATGGGGGAATGTTCCATCCTTTAGCCTGAAATACAGAAGCATTGGTACCAAAACAGCCCTGACAACCCCCCCCCCCAATAATGTGTTGGGTAATAAATGAGGGGGGGAACACGTGCACAGTTCAGTATTGCCCCCCCCCCCCGTTGCTCCGTCGGCCTCATGCTGGGTTAATGGTGCTGCAGAGACACACTTGGGCACGTGCGGGCTATAAACCTGCTGAGGGCGGGGCCCAGTCCAGGCTCCACCCCTGGGCTCGGCGGGGCGGGACCTAGTTCCGCCCCGCCCCTCCCTCCGGCGCGCTCCGCTGCCGCCTGGTGGCCTCTGCACCGAGCGGCCCGGCAGGCGCATGCGCAGTGGGGCGCAGCGCGGGGCTCCCCATTGGCCGGCGCTGGGTGGGCGGGGCCGGGAGGCGGCCAATGGCGCGGCGAGGCGGGGGTATAAAGCCGGGGGCGGCCCCCGCGCGGGGAGCGGCGGTGGCTGCTGCCTCCGGAGCAGGGAAGGAGGGGGCGGGGCTGCCGCGGGACGGGACCCAGGCGTCCGGGGCGGGGGCCGGAGTCCCCCCCCCCCGGGCGGCCCCGGGGCCCCAGGACTGTCTCGGGGGTTGGTCAGACCGGCCGGGCGGGGGTCAGAGCAAAGGTCCCTCCAGCCCCGGTAGCCTGTCTACACACAGGCTGGGACCCGCCTCGCCCCGCCGGGCTAAGAGCCCAGCCCAGCCCCGTCCATCTGGGAGGCCGATCTGGCTTCAAGACTGGCCTGAGCGTCGGTGGGCGGCGTGGTGCGGGCGGCCAGCCTGGCTGTGCACTCGAGCCCTCTGTCACTAGTGGGGCTACACGAGCTATTCCCTGGTGACTGGTTAATGTCACGTTTATCCATTAATGCCAAAGGAGCTGGTCCAAGAAGTAGTAATTGCGGAGGTGGTAAGATGGAGAATATATTATTGCCCTTATATAAATGGATGGGATGCCCACATCTTGAATACTGTCTGTCAGAGGGTGGAGATGGATGGCCTTGGTGAGATAAGACCATCAAGAGTCTGCAGCATCCTGTGCATACATGGTCTTACTTTAGTAAGGGGGGAGGGATAGGGGCCTTCGGGAGCTGGGGCATAGATGGGGCTACTATAAGGTGGGTGCATAACTGGCTGGATAACTGTACTCAGAGAGTTGTTATTAATGAAAAAAGAACAGGAGTACTTGTAGCACCTTAGAGACTAACAAATTTATTAGAGCATAAGCTTTCGTGGGCTACAACCCACTTCTTCGGATGCATATTGAGTGAAACATATCGAGGAGATATATATACACACATACAGAGAGCATGAACAGGTGGGAGTTGTCTTACCAACTCTGAGAGGCCAATTAAGTAAGAGAAAAAAAACTTTTGAAGTGATAATCAAGATAGAATACTTACAAGGGGAGATAGATTCTCAAAGAATGGCCAGATAGGTTAAAGTGTTCTCCCACTGGTTTTTGAGTATTATGATTCCTGATGTCAGATTTGTGTCCATTTGCTTTAGGTTGGGGGGGTTGTCTGTAAGTGAGGACAGGTCTGTCTCCCAAGATCTGTGAGAATAAAGGATCATCTTTCAGGATAGGTTGTAGATCTCTGATGATGCGCTGGAGAGGTTTTAGTTGGGGCTGAAGGTGACAGCTAGTGGTGTTCTGTTATTTTCTTTGTTGGCCCTGTCTTGTAGGAGGTGACTTCTGGGTACTCGTCTGGCTCTGTCAATCTGTTTTTTCACTTCAGCAGGTGGGTATTGTAGTTTTAAGAATGCTTGATAGAGATCTTGTAGATGCTTGTCTCTATCTGAGGGATTGGAGCAAATACGGTTATATCTCAGAGCTTGGCTGTAGACAGTGGATCGTGTGGTGTGTCCTGGATGGAAGCTGGAGGCATGTAGGTAAGTGTAGCGGTCAGTAGGTTTCCAGTACAGGGTGGTATTTATGTGACCATCGCTTATTAGCACAGTAGTGTCCAGGAAATGGACCGCTTGTGTGGATTGATCTAGGCTGAGGTTGAGTCACAGAGTTAGTCCATCTGTGTGTAGAGGGCTTCTACGTCCATAGTGGCCAGGATGGTGTTTTCTGGAAGATCACCGTATAGCGTAGGGTCTGTTAGGGTGCCAATGCCTGAGATGATGGGGCGTCCAGGATTTCCAGGTTTATTCTTCAGGGAGTTTTTTTAGCAGATGGTGTAGTTTCTTTAGGTAATCCTCAGTGGGATCAGAGGATAATGGCCTGTAGAATGTGGTGTTAGAGAGCTGTCTTGATAATGATGTCAGGGTTGTTTCTGAGGCTGTAGATGGCGTTGTGTTCAGTGATGTTGCTTATCCACAATTTCAGCCTTTCAGAGGTATGTTGGCAAGACAGACTCTTCTGCTGGGCTAAGAAGTATAGCTGGAAAGGTTAACAATATTGCTGGGTGGGTTAAGGGAACTACTGTTGTGGCTCCTTGTGGCATGTAGCAGTTTAGATAGTTTAGTGTCCTTTTTCCTTTGTAGAGAGGCAAAGTTTGTCTTGTAAATGGCTTGTCTAGTTTTTGTAAAGTCTATCCATGAGGTAGTTTGTGTGGAAGGTTGGTTTCTTATGAGAGTATCCAGTTTTGAGAGCTCATTCTTAATCTTTCCCTGTTTGCTGTAAAAGGCATAACGAGTGGGGTTCCACAGGGGTCTGTTTTGGGACCAGGTCTGTTCAATATCTTCATTAACGACTTAGATATTGGCATAGAAAGTACGCTTATTAAGTTTGCAGATGATACCAAACTGGGAGGGATTGCAACTGCTTTGGAGGACAGGGTCATAATTCAAAATGAAAATGCAAAGTGCTCCATGTCTAGGAAGGAGTACGGCAGAAAGGGATCTAGGGGTTATAGTGGACCACAAGCTAAATATAAATATGAGTCAATGAGAACATGACCTATGAAGGAAGGCTGAAAGAAGTCACATAACTACAACTAGGGTGCAGGGATATACCTGCATGTGGACAGCTGGGGAGGTTGTCGAGTCCAGTCCCCTGCCTGCATGGCACAGTCAGGTCCATCTTGGGGGCCCCACAGCCCTGTCTGCCTCAGCGACCTCTCCCACAGCCTTTGTTCACTTTAGCACTCAGATGCTCAATTGGGGGGGGGTGTCCTCAAACCCAGATAAATCCATTTTACCCTGCATAAGCTTTATGCAGAGTACTCTGAGTAAATTACTAAATAAAAAGTGATTTAGTAAGTTACCAAGCTAAACAGACTGGACACCTTCCTTCCAGGCCTGGGCACAATTCTTTCCCCTGGCACAGCTCTTGTTCCGCATAAGGCGGGAACCCTTTGTCCCTCTGGGTTTCCACACCCACCCCCCACTGGAAAAGCACCAGGTTAAAGATGGATTCCAGTTCAGGTGACATGATCACCTGTTGCTGCAAGACTTATTTTATATTTCTAGTTTTATACAAAGCGGATGATCACACTCAGTAGATTATAAGCTTTTATACAGGGTAAAACAGATTTATTTGGGGTTTGTATCTAGCTGGTTTCAGTTAAGCCTGCAGCTTTTCCCAAGGGGGGGGGGTGGGGGTGTCTCTGTGACCGAACCCATCACAATGGGCTCAAACATTTTCCCCAACATAAGACAAACACAGACAGGGTCAGCAGAGGAGAGTTTATTTCACCAGCAGGCTGAGAGATTTTTTTTTTGGGGGGGGGGGGGGGGGGGGGGAGAGATGATGACCATCGGGCAGTAACAACGCCAGGGGCTCCACAGCAGCATTCCAGGGCTACATCTCTCACCGGATCTGGGAAAGACAGAGAGAATTATGGGGGGGGCAGGGCAGGCAGCACTGATTCCCCCCTCCCCCGCCGTGCACTACTCCTTCCAACCCATACTCAGCAATTCCCCTGGTATGGAGACATCCTCTCCTCCTCCCCCCCCCAACTCACGGTGTACTTGTCCCACTTCTTCTCGGGGTCGTAGGGCTCCCAGCGGCTGGCCGGGAAGATGTGCTTGTTCTTCTCGTACCAGCTGCGCAGGACGACCTTCCCAGCGTGGGACTGGGGGGAAGAGAAAGAGCTCAGTGGGGCTGGGGCTGGCTCTCCCCCACGGCAGGGACACAGGGCCTGTTCCCTCTAGGGGACATGGGGGGGACCCCCCCCACGCTCACCTCATCCTTCTCCACAGTGGCATCGCTCAGGAGTCGCACGTCCTCGTGAACGTCGAAGTTGAAGAGCGGCCCTGGGGAGTTGGGGGAGATTAGTTGTCTTCTGACCAGCCCCAGCATGTCCCTTCCTCCATGGTGGTGGTGGTGGAACATGACAGTCAGGGATCACCTTCCCCCCCCCCTCTGTCATGGGGCCAAAAGTGACTAGAACCCCCCCCCCCGCCCCCCAGGGGAGTGAGATTGGGGGCCATGGGGGGGGGGTGGTCACTCACCACTTTTCCCTCTTGCTTTAGTCACGATGAAGTCGTAGAAGCTGTGATGCTGGCAGAGGGGGAGGGAAAGGGTTAAAATTCCACATCCCTTGCCCCCCCCCCCAATGTGTGTGTGTTACTCAGGTGCCCGGGTGGTGGGACGAGGGGGTGAGATTGTGGGTGGGACATTGACGGGCTGGCTGCGCCCAGAGACCAGCTGACACTCTGCAGCCCGGCCCCTGCAAGGACCAGCCCAAGGGGTCAGCATGGCCCCAGGAAGGTCGGTCTCCTGGTTTGGGGCTCAGAGGGGGGAGCCCTGGATTCCCCCCCACACACACACACACACACACGATGGGGTGTTACACTAATAACCCCATCTGCCACACTCCGTCTGGGAGGGGGGGGGGGGAGGCTCCCCAGGGGTCCCCTCTGTGGGCCCCTCCCCCCCCCCCCCACAGGGAGCTCACGGGGTGACCGGGGGCTGCGCGTGCCAAGGCTGGACCCCGAGCAGGCTCCATTGACCTGGGAGGGAGCTCCTGGGGCAGGACGGGGGGAGAGAAATGTGAGCAGAGGACGCTGGAAGCCCGCGCCAGCCACTTACGTGGGGGATGATCAGATCCTCCTTGATGTACATGAGCTGCTCCACCCCGGCTGACCTGGGGGGGGGGGGGGG